CTGACAGGGTCGTTGCAATATGCGTTTTTGCTGCCTGTTGCAGCTCCCTAGCGCTGCACGGCAAAACGCACAAAAAGTTGGGTTCCTGCAGTATTCCACGCCTATGTACGACACTAGAATTTCATTTCACTTGCCAGGTGCGCCTGGGATTGGCGTACAGCATTTGAAATTTTTGGCGGAAAACTGAAGAAGAGAATCTCTTCAAAGCAAAAAGGGGAGGTATTTTTTTAACACTTTCGTGGGAGCACGCAATAATAAATGGGTGGTTCCTCCCTACTCGGTCACGGCGGCCGGCTACGTTCCACACTCTTCAGCAGCAACAGAGATTGTACCCCTTTAATCAACAGCTTTCTTGCAATCGACCCTGCACTATTGAAGGATCGTAGCTTTGAAGGTTTTGTTCAATATCAGCGGTGACCGGTGGTTTGAGGATCGACAGTGACCGGTGGGTAGTACAACTGACGACCTGGATCAATACTGCCGAAAGCTGATGGGTCGCTTTATCGACGGGCTAAGTATCCATATTTTACGGTTTCTGTATTCATCGACGGATCAAGGAGGGTCGGTACTCTAGTACGACAAATCAATAGCAACATTCCTTTTCTACAGCCGTTCTACGACCTTTTATTTTAACTGTATTCAACGACAATTACCAAAAGTGCTCCCTCTTCGACTACTTACTCAACGGTGCAGTTTACTGTTGCTTTATCAAGTGACTAACGAAATTTTTGTCCATTTCGTGCGCCTAATCAACAACTCTTCTTGCGCCTGGTGCGCCATTTTACTGATGATTTTGGAGGGGTTTCCGATCGCGTATGAACTCTCGAATCTGGACACGTTTCCGCAGTCTGTCTGCACTCTAACCTTGACCTCAACTCTGAATTGGGACAAATTTTGTAATTCAAACACCAAAGTAGGCACGCCTAGGCCTTTGAAAAAGACGTTTATTATTCAGCAGAAGGCCAAAACTTGGGGATCGGCTTTCACTGAGTTGTGACTTTTAATCCTAGACCTTTCCACTAAATCCGAGCATGTCTTATAGGATGGATTGTGGGATCAAAAGACTTACACGCTGGTCACGTACGTGTAGGTCTGCGTGTACGTATGTGCGCAGGTATAGGCAAGGGTCGCTGGAGTAGTAAACACGGCGGCGCAGTGCTATTAGCAGGCTTGGGGCGCAGGTGCATAAAGCAAGCGCTGTGTTAGTTCAACGTGGTCCGTGCGGTCAATCGCTCCGGCCTGCCGTAATTAGTACTCCGCGACGCTGTTTTTAAACCAGTCGAATGACTGACCACGCTTCTGCTGGTACCATTTACCGGTGCGCCAAATCCACTGGTTGTCAGTAAGGCAAGTAACGTATTTACCCCAACGGGTTTTGCTTTCGGATAACATCTCGTGCAGCACTTTTCATGTGCCCGAGAACTTGTTTGCTTTAATGGTCATGAAGAGACACTTCAATCATTTTCGCTTTATTGCTGTCTCCGTCAGAACCAGTGTCCACTTTTTTGCTTTTATCAGTAGTCACGTTTTTTCACTTTTTTCAAAACAGTGGTAAAAGTGATTGGCATGGTCCTTCTGGTTCGACACTTTGAAAACGCAGATGATGCCATGGGATTCATGCATATTGACAGCCTCCCAGATTCAAAAATCCTTTATTTCACATGATTTTTCAAGCTCTAAGGTTGTTCCGTGGCCTGACTTTTTTTGACCCTGGGTCCCAGTCCGGGTGAATTTTCTGGTTGTGCAACGAAAGCTTCAGAGTTAAAAGGAAAACTTCGATCCAGCACGAGGCCTAAGCTTGGAAATTTTTTGTCTTCGAATGCAAAATTTAGGCAAATTTTATAAGTGCACAGCCAAAAAGGATACTTTGACACAGTGATCATATGCGACTGTTATCTCCATGCGTGCATGTCTTATTTTTCCGTATCTGCATGCGTGCGTGTACGAGCCATGTCACTTAGACCATCCAGACGGTGAATGTGTGCCTATTCGATGCTACAAGCATCGATGGTATGCAAGACTGAGCAGAAGGTAGCTACGCCAACGATTCCCTCCAATTTTGCGTTTACAACGTATCTAATCGATACCACGTCAGGATGGCCGAGCGCGACCAGGCTTTTTACGCAGTTCCGCCCAACAAACATTTGTTGTAAAAAACTTTCACTCCTTTTTTCCCTGGTGTGTACAAAAACAACTAATATGTTGTTCGGTTCCTAAGCTGCGAAATTTCCCACCAAAAATACAGTAGATTCGAGGGTGCGCCGTTCTTCTCCCTCGATGATCAGACATCAAAGAAAGCAGAAATTTTGCGGAATGCTGCCGTATCTTGCGCGTCACTGAAAACGGGGTCTCAGAGTTTCACGTATGGATACGGTAAATTCGAGGGTGCGCCTTGCTGCAACACCTTCATGCAAAATTCACGGTAATCGCTGTGATTTCACGCAGCTCCAAGATGCAACATTTTCGCTCCAGTTAACGCCCTTTTTCCCCTTGTGTAAGGAAAGAACAAAACATTTATCATTACGAGTGCACATGTTAAAACTGAAGCAAAAGCCATTACTTTAACAATTTGACTGTTTCAAATTCGGCGCAAAAATGCATTTATCGGAAGCTTGATAGGCTTGATGCCTGGGTTATTTTGCAAAAGGCGTATGTGTGGCAATATTTAGTACTGGTGCAATAGTGACAACTGTTTTTTGATAACTTTACTGCAGTATATTTCATCGCCGACTGTGATGCGCCGCTCTCCTAGCTTTCCATTCTACAACACGGAAGTAGACGGTATCCAGCATTAATATAATTATTTATATTTATTTACTTTTATATATACTTTTATATTCCACACACATATTTCATTTTAATATATATCATGATTAATATCTCTTATTTTATATCTCTTATTTTACGTCTACCTTCAACCGAAGATCAAAAAGAAACCTACTTAGCATAAAGCGGAGAATGGTATCAGGGATTATGCCATGTCGGAATCAGTCGGAGTGTTTGTGCTTGGGAGTTTGTCGGAATTTTGGTTTTCGGCTGTTGCGTCATCCCCTTTATTCGATAGGAAGTGTTAGCAATGGACGCTATGCTCCTTACACTTGTCAGTGGGGCTTGTCGTCTGCTTCTTCACATGCTCAAACCACCTTTCCAGTCTTGTAAGGAAATGTCATAATATATTAAAAATGCTGACGCATTTCAGAAAGTTAGATTTATCCCTCGGTATTTGTTTCCCCTCCTTTTTCTCGCTTCTGAATTCGCCGTTACTTTGCATAGCAGTCAGACTATGCCCCTTCCAGTGCTAAATCAGATAGTATGATAGGAAGGCATAATCCCCTGGCATTGGTTTTGCTGTAAATAAAAGTTCTACCTCCCAGTTTTTAGTTGATGGTAAATCTGGAAGGCCTTTGCTTTGTTTAATATCTGTGAATTTAGGTACTAAAAAAACAGTGCGCCGCTGGACCGGATGGAAACGAAAAAGCGTCTCATGCTTCCGCCTAGAAGGATACGAAGGAAAGAACTGATTCCAGTTTACTGGGTAACTCGGTGTTGCTATTTCAAGATCACAGTGCGTTTGATGTTCATCGTGCTGTTGCAGCTGGTGTCCATGATTGCCAAAGGCTCGGTAATCTTTTGGAACAATGCTTTTTATACAGATTTGCTTTTTATACAGAAATCGTCAGTAATGGTATCTTTTTGATAGAGCGGTAGCATTTACTAGATCTGAACGAATTATTCTGTTCACCTTTTGCTACAAGCTGGTTTTCGGCAAAAAATATTTTCTGAAATTGCAGCTTGTGAATCTTTATAAACCTAATTCACTACACGGCTCAAGCATAATTTTCTTTTAGAGAGAAAATTTGCTCCCTTCATTTTTGCAGCTCTCCCGGAACTAAATCTTTGCTCATCCGCCCAAGTGTTACTACCACGTGATCCACACAATTTTCGCCTTCTCAGTGGTTGTCGGAGGTAATTACGTGTTTCGCTCTAATTCCTTCATACATTTTGCGGAAGCATGAATGTTTCGAGAATTTCTAGTGCAGGAAATATATTAGTTCTCCGTTAGTCTACTTCTAATTCCTGATTACATAA